GCAGATTCTTCAAGGATAGACTGCCAAGGAAAGCACCTCTAAATGTACTTCCTCCTCACTTCTATTATATCTTGTCCCCCTTACTCATCACACAAGACTCATCACGTGTGCAGCCCGGAGAGGTTGGATAGTCCCCATTCATGGAGGTTTTCAAGACCTGACTGGATAAAGCTCTCAGCATTCTGATTAGATCTTGTAACTGACACTGCTTTAAGCAGGAAGTTGGACTAGAGAGTGCCTGAAGCCCCTTCTGATGTGGGTTGTTCCATGGTTTTAATAATACTATGAGTATTAAAATTTTTGACTATGAATAGTTCCATCACAGTCAAAGGTAAGTATACAACATTATTTATTTATTTAATTATTCCTATCAGAATTTCACATGTTCCTGCTAGTATAAAATGACGGCCGGAAATCTTTTCACCCGGATCCACAGATACATCCACAAACATGGAAATAGGCAACGTATTTATTCTGCAGTTTCTATCACAAAAGCAGAAGTAAGTCATTCTAGTCTAGCTGTGCATGGTCTCTTTTCTAATGTAGTTAATTATAAGAACTTGAGGCACTGCTGAACACGGTGACAGAACAAATTTAGCATTTATGATTATATTGCCTGTAGCGCTAATGCTCCATGAATGTCACTCCCAAAGTATTTGAAGAATTACCGACTTGTCTGTGTCTTACCAGAGATGATGGGATCAGGAAGAAAGGACCAAGTTGCATTTAATTCCTGAAAGTAGGAATGTAGACCCCCAATAGAGGACATTGTTGCTGCTCACTGCTTCTCCCTGTGAGTTTAAACTAAAAATATATATATATATATATTTCCCCCCTAAGAAGATACCTTCCTTGCCTTCTCCTTGTCCTCCCCTTTGCAGCATCCAGCAGAAGAGCTATCCACTGCAGCACCCTTTGGCCCTTGAGGGAGGCCACAAGAAGACAAATGGCCTGGCCAGGTGCTTCAGTCAGTTGATTCAGTTCCTGCACCTTCCTGCTCTATGTTGGGCTGATTTTCTGCAGGGTTCATGAGCAGTGCTGGGGCGAGCCCAAAGAGGCCCAGTGTGAGGTCGGGAGCCAGACAAGGCTGTTGGGCTGTGGGTCTCCGACTGGTTTCCAGGTCCCACCTGTGCCTCCGTGAGGAAGGGAGATGACCCGTTGCCTCTTTTCTGAGAGCCAAAACTGCTGGAGACCTGCTGCTGCCAAGCAGACCTGTTGGTCGTGAAGACCCCCAGAGCACGAGGCACAGACCCCAGAGCCCCGGCCACAGACCTCTCCTGCGGAGTTTCCCAGCTCCCACGTGGACACAGCTGAGGGGCATCCAGTTGCTCCAGGGACAGACTGGTGGGAAAACGGGTTTCCAAGCGTCTGTCTTGGGACCAGGCTAACAGGAGTGATGACAGCAGGGCAAAGCTCTACTGCTAAACTGGGCTTGGGTCTCCATGAGCTCAGGCCACCATCGTAGGCGGGCTTGGAGGTTTCCTGAGTGCTGAAACAGGAGCAGGTCATACAGCTGCTGCCTCTGCCTTAAAGGGCAGGTACAAACATGGCCTCAATGTGCAGTTTTTTCTCAAAGGGAAGCTATGTTCCAGTTGCGAAGCCAGGTGTTTAAGCACAGCAGGATAAATAAGTCTTTCAGAAGCTTAGTGGGGTTATGTAACTCCCTTTTTTCTTCCTCATTCTTTTTGTTTTGATTAATGTCTCTGTTATCTTTCTACTGCAACATTTTTCTTTGTTTCTTCCCTTTCATACTCTTTACTTATGTCTTCATCATCTGTCATTAGAAATATTTGATGAATATTAATCCAATCTCTCCCACATTTGCAATTTGCAATTTTCAAAATATGCCTTGTTTGGCAGCTTATGCTGTGAAAGGATTGATTCTGTAGAGGTTCATTAGCCATAACAAACTGTGAACCATGACAAACTTAAACCTTGCCTTGAAGGAGAAGTATATTTTAGAGCAAAGTGAAGGGCTTTGGTGAATACACAATTGAGTGTGTAGCAATGGTTCTGTGTTTGACTGCACAGTCTTGCATTACTATAAGTGTGAATTAATCCAATGATGTTTTTCCCTCAGTACAGTCTGAGGTGTTACTGAGTAAATCTGAGATCATTCCAGAAAATTTATGTATAAAATCTGTGATTACTATCTCTTGTTCCCTATAGCCACTACTAAGAACACCTTCCTCTGATGCAGGAAGCAGAATAATAACCCAGGTGAATTTTGAGTTCCTGGAGCATATAGTTTCTTGCTAAAGGCCATTAGCATGATAAGTCCATGCCTTTCTCAGAAATGAAAGTGAAATCTCAAATTTGTCATGGCATGTTGGAGAGGAGAAGCACTCGTAAGCAAGTCCTGCAGAACAGTGGGTGCGTGGTAGCTTGTTTGGTCCAGTCCACAGGGTGGCAACATAGACAACCCCTTGTGCGATTACAGGCCACATTAGAGCTGGTGGCATTGGTACTTCAAGTTCTCCATAAAAAGGCGCTGTGCCTGTCAAGATCATTAGCCATGCAATCACACTGGTAAAGAAATTGGAGCTAGATGCTATGCCATCATATTTGCTTGTGCAAATATTTAACAACTGCTGGATAACTAAGAATCACTGGAACCTGGCATTACCCAAAGTAAGATAAGCTTCTCCAGATTTACACTTTGAATTAATTCAGTGCAACATGATCTCAAATGTGTTGTGATGCTGTTATAAACTGCTTGCACGTGGAACTCGTAGCACAGATAAATTTTTGTATCATCCTGACACAAGAGAGGTTTTCTTTCATACTCTGTTGAAGTGTCCACATTTATTTTGGTTCCCAGAGGAAGTTACATTAATTCCTTCTGTGTCAACTTGTATTGTGCTTAAAGAGAAACATGCTATTTCAGTATTAATAAATTCTATGTAGAGTCTTTATTTTCAAGGATTTATGGTTACATAGACTCATTAGTTCATAGCTACAAGCTTTTTGAACACCACGATCCAGTTTGGTTGCTGAAAGAGATTTATATAGGGCTTTGCAAAGCTATAGAACTAAAGCTTGACCACAAGTCAGGAAATGGTAGAGATATGAAATAAGTTAGGGGAGGGTATTTGCTTTCCCTGTGTGTTTTCTGTCTGCTTTCACTATTTGTTACTATCTCATGTTCCCTACAACACGACTGCTACGGTTACTTTCCTTTGTCTTAGGAGACAGAATAATAATCCATGTTTCTTGCATACAATTTCGTGGTAACAACCAATAGGTCAATTTCTTCCTCAGAAATGAGAAAGCAATTTGAAAATTCTCCGTTATCACTTATACGTGAAAAATGCTCTTTCTAATCAAGGAAAGGACAATTTATGGAGTCTTTTTGGACAAGTAAAGCATCTGTCACTTTACCACAAAGAAATATATTAGCTGATCTACATAGGAATTACAAAATGGATAAGGAACTAGGTAGAGATCTGATAATGGTAAGATTTACTGAAAGTAGAAATAATGATCTTGAGTAAGGTCACTAATGTAGTTCCTCAATGATCAGTTTAAGAAGGGATCTGTTGTCATTATTCTACTATTAACTAAGGACAAATAGTAAGTGCATGCTAAAGAAATTCTCATGACACAATCTCAGCAGCACTGTGAATGCTGGGTAGTAGTGTAACATTCAGGAAGAACCAAGTAGGTAAGTATACTGGGGTGACGGAAATTGGATACCAATAATACACTATCGGTAACTTAGAAAAAGATATGCTTTTTCACATTAGGAAATCTCTGTTTGGAACAAGTTAAGGAGAAGAAAGGCTTTGCTCTGTTGGTTAATCAAGAGGCAATTAATTCACAGAACTCATGAGTCGTAAGAAAGGCAAGTGGTATTACTAGGTGAATTGGTAGAGGTATTTCAAGCAATGGAAATGTTAACACCTGATTACTAGGCACAGGGAAAATCCATCTGCTTTACTGCATAATGTTCCAGTTGCCCATGTCAAGGATGAAAACTCTTTTTTGTAACCTACCTATTCCAGAGAGCATGCAGAGCCTTTTTTAGAAAAGAAAATAAAATGTCTTCCATTGTTTAGCCTATAAAAACTAAGGCTGTGATAAAAAAGAGCCGCAAAGCTGTTTGAACTTATGGGTCACAGTTGCACTAACCTGTGCTTGCTGTAAGTAGAACTGGCTATAATCTGGCCGTGAATGTATTATGGTATGAGAGGAGTGAGCTTCTACACCAGCCTTTCAGTAATGTGGAGTTCAAAAAAATCTATTCTGAATCAGCATAATAAGATTGCAAAGGGATGCCTTGATGTGTTACCTTCTTTGGCAGATGCAAGATTCAGTGACTTACAAGGTCCTTTTGGTTCCTTATTTTGATCACTCTGTATCACCCTATCTAATGAACCCCTAGGACTGAGCTGAAATAAAATTCCTTCCTATCTATGTTGTGTTAGGAAACACAGAGTCATTAGGAAGGTGAAGGGATTTTTCACTTCAAACCCACATATAAGGAAGCTGTTTTCTTTCAGCCCATGTCCTGTAACGGTCAGAGGTATTAACGTAAATAGAATGCATTTATAAATGCAAAGGTCATATTTTATAATTCCATTTATTCTCACTCCTTTTTGGCCAAAGCATTTAATAAAATATCTGACATGTTTCAGTAATCATGACAAAAAATACAATTTTGTATGCATACACCATGGGAAACTGAATGTGTCAGAGATTCAGACACAGCCTATCTTCCTGATACAAAGCAGTCTGAAATCTTTATGTTAAGTCCGAGGCCAGTGAAAGCTCTTAACTCCATGTCTGTTAGGGATACATATTCGTTTTAAGTGAGCTTAAACAAGGGAGTGGTAAGGGATGTTTCATAACCTTTTAAGTGTCTACGGTTTATAGCCAAATTATCTCCTGAATTACATTAGCTGGAATCAATGTCTTATACTGGACGAACGGAATGTTCCATAAAACCTTGACAGATAAAGCATTAATAAGTGTCAGAGCTGACTTGGTTAATCGAATGATTTGCTGACGCTTCTTTTTACCACATGTCTGCACTTTCAAGTTTAGTGCCAAAGGTTCTCTATATATAGCCGAAGACAGCAATTAGATGGTCCCTTTTCATGCGGATTTCTAGCCAGCTGCCTGTTTCATAAACGTCTTGCTAGAGCAGCTTTTCCAGACAGGAAATTTAAAATATGGTGAAGTTACAGTTACCCAATCCTGGCCTGGAGGACAGAATACCTTCGTATGCAGAATTAGAGGTCCTTGAAAAAGAAGAGGCAGATTCAAGACCGAAATGGGATAACAAGGCTCAGTATATGCTGACCTGCGTGGGGTTTTGTGTGGGCTTAGGGAATGTATGGCGATTCCCGTATCTCTGTCAGAGCCATGGAGGAGGTATGTCTTTAATATATCTTGATTAAATTCGCTATTAACCTATCTTCAATATCTCTTTGGGGATACAAGGATTGGAATACTTTGTTTACAACTGGTCAATTCCTGTAAAAATAATGATGTTTCTCTCTTGAATACGATCTGATGGAGAAGGTTATTTCACAGGTTATTCATATCCATTGGAGTTTATTAGTTATATAAGGAAAAGGAATGTTTATTTTGGGACACATGGTTGATCTAATCAGTTCTTGCACTTGTTATCAAAGTGATATGTTTTATCAATTTAAGTCCAATATTACTTTACAGATGCATCTATCTACCTCTCCACATATTTTAATATATCAATAACCTACTTGGCAATACAATTCTGATTATGAACTCAAATTATCTTTCCTTTGTTTTTTTATTGGCTCAATCTGTGTGTCAGCTGTGGTGCCGCTGTATATGTAATTTATAATAGCAGAAGTAACAGAACAAAAATGGTTATTGTTAGGAGTACCTATTTTTTAGCACTTTCTGGTATTAAGTCCTTTAATATCCATGTGTACACTGTTTACGATAAAATTCACTGTGATTCTTCAGGGTTCAGTTTAGGATCGAAAGGCCATATTAAAAGTTTTATCTTGGGTTTGCTGTTTGTGCTTAAAGCAGGATTTTGAGCTAAACCACTGCTTAGAAAATTATATGACATCATGAATATCACTCTATGTCTGTTAACTTCCTCAAACCAGTGTTGCTTGTTTAGGTTTCTCTCATGCCTGATACTTCTTTAAAGAACTACCTAATATACTGCAGTATAAAAGCTGAACATAGATTGAAATTGGATGGACTGATGGAGAAATTCATCTGTGCATGATCCTCACAGGGTGTTTTCAGGCAGTTCCAGGAGTGGGTTGCATGCTGAGTCCTGTTGACAAGCCAGGGTTGCTGCATGCAATCCAAGCTTGTTTACTGGGACTTTGTCATGCCCTGGGCAGCTTTCTGGCCATCTGTTCTACCCTACGTCTACCTTTCATCTGCATTTTATTCTAGGATATGTATACGCTGTGTTTGTTCCTCTGGGATGGTTGGTTCAGTATTTTGAAGCACTTTTGTGTTAAATATACATAATGAGATTTTTTAAAAATTGCTATTCCTAGTTAAAATGGGGAGTAGCGAGGGTTGGTTGGATGGAAAGTTATGAGTACAAATTTAGGGGCACTTAACCCCAGATTACTCAGATAGTTCATCTGCAAAAGGGGATGCTTTTAATATTAATATTTTTATGACATGGGCTGGTGTTTAGGGTTGGCAATGTAAACATGGGTAATTTGCAGCACTGAAAATTCTTGTGACAAAAAGTCACATCAGTCAAAATAAATTATAATCCCCTTTCCATATGTGTCAGTTCTATTTTGAAAATTCAATGGATATATCCAAAATTCATGGCACTCGCTGGCTTCTCAGGTAGGACTTTCACTCACCTTCTGTTTATACTTAGAAAGTGGAAATGCCCTATTTTGTGATACTGATTTATAGATGCTTTCTACTCTTCCATTTATCTTTCCTCTACCTCTCCCTCCAGCGCTATAAAATGTGAATGAAAAATAAACATCCAAGATGTTTACTTGAATGAATCATAGCTTTCCAGTTGGTGTCAATGAACATTTAGAAATTGTTCCCTGGGTGTATTTTAATTTATCCTCTGACAGTGATGATTTTCCCCTTCATTATTCTGTAGCTTGTCCTTGGTCAGGAACATTAACAGCAGTTATCAAATCTCCCTGCTCCTTGTTCCCCTTGGGCTCTCTCACCCAGATTTTAGTCAGAAGTCATAAGGTGGCATGCAGCAAGAAAGCCGACTCTGGGCTCAGAATTACTGTCCATATGGCTAGACTTGAAAATCAAAATCCAAAATATTTTTTTCTATAAATTATTCTGCAGAACATCTGTCATACGCTGTAATTCCTATCAACAGGTTTTTGCTCAGGTTCTTGCAGGAAGTCTAAATCCACCTCCTGCACGGCTGCCTCCCTCTCCCTGCTGCCGCTGACCCTCCAGGTGCCCAGCGGCATCCTCTTCCCCACCTTCTCTCTGTAGCCAGAGCGGCTCTTTGCTGTCTTTTGGAGGCATGGTTTTGAATTAGAACGCATTAGATGATCTGTATTGTGAAAACAGACCTTGAAGTTCTCATTTTTGGAGATAGCTTGTATTGAGATTTTTTTTCCTAATAAGATATTCTGGTTTCTATGTCTCCAACTGCCATCCAACCATGTTCACAGCATGGAAAGCATGTAATTGGTGCAGCTCTCTGCATCATCCTTGGTTTGGAAGGATGAAGTTTGGTTCAGCTGCTTCCAGCTGGAAATCAGCAGCATTTCCTAGACATTTTAGATAAACTTTTCCCTAATCTTTGCCACTCAGCATTGGCTTTATAATGTGAATATCACTTTCTACCCCAAAGGGGTAAGGTTAAGAAGAGTCATCCGCCTCATTTGTGTAACCCTCAGGTGTGCCACAGATGAGTCTCTATAGCAGGATAGGGGAAAACAGCAACATCATGCACCTTCTTCTGGGCTAAGCAAGGTTTTAACACTGTGATACTCAAATACACAAAAAGAAGTTGGGTATTACATAGTTTATTTGCTTTTTTTGTCACATAAATTTAATACAAATTTGTATTAAAAATAGACGATTTTAATGGAAAAAAATAGTGTGAAGTGTATTTTCTCCTTTTAAAAATAATTTGTGACCTAAAAGCTGTAAAATACTTCATTACTGCAGGCAAACTTGACTTCAATATACACACAACATACAGGCAAGTGTGTTTACCTCAGTGCTTTCACCAGCATAAGGAGATAAAAATTTCCCTTCGTTTGATAGCTATCTCTGACATTACATACATGGCTTTTGTTTAATCTTTATTGAGCAACATGTCATTTAATCATTTGTCAAACGTTTTAGTTTCATCTCTGGTGAGTGTTATTAAAAAAGAGGATGCAACCTTAATGTTTAAACCATCAATACAGAAAGAAAATGTCTTTAAGTATACAGTTAGCATATGTCTGCCATAAACATTTCTACTGTGCCAGGGAGAATCTTTTCACCTCCGTGCGTGAGATGATAGTGAACAAAGAAGGGATAATGGCCTCAGCAGGCCGAACAGCAGAGTTTCCTTCCTGGAATTGTCACTTCCACTCTGCCACCATGGAAAACGACTTAGTCTGTAGTCTAGCTGTGTTCCCCCTCATGAGAAAATCTGTGAAAGCAATAATAATGTTTTCTGTTTTACATTAGAAAACCCTAGATTACACTTCTTATTTAAATAAAAACTGAGTAATAGCAATACAGATGTTCTACACAAATATTAGGCGCATTATATTAAAACAGAATTAGAATCCAATATATAAGCTGCAGCAGTTTCAAACTGGAAGGATTATATATAGTTTATATGCATTTATACAAGATTTATTGTGAGATTTCTAGTTTTTTGTCAAGTTCATAAAAACATGATAGCTCAAAAAATATATATTTTTTATATCTGGCTCCCATGTAGCTGCATTGCAAAGTCATTGTTCCTTTTTTTCTCAGTACTATTTTCTCAGGCTGTTTCAGAAAGGTTGAAGAAAAATTGAGAGAAATGCATAACATGCCTAAGTTGTATTTTTAAGTGGGCTGTTACAACTGAATCCCAGTTCAATGAAAAGAAAAAAAAAAGGTGTGTGTGTAACTGAGAATTGTCATTTTGTTGCTCTTGAAAATATACTCATACCAATATGCTTATAACAAATAAAAGTAATATTTCTTTCAGTTTCTGACACAGCACACCTTACATTTTTTAATCACTATGCTACCTCAGTATATATGGCTATACCTTCAAACTGGAAGTGTTTTGATTCCCATATATTTTTATGGGATAGACTGTGCCTTGCAACTGTGCTAATGAAAGGTGCGGGCAGATCCTCACTTTCTCCATTTGTGTCAACCACAAACCCACAATTTTTTTTCCTGTGGATTCCAAGGTAGGAGGGAAACTGGATAGACTGTGACTATGCAGCCGGATCACCCATCTTTTTCATATGGTAGATGATTACTTGCAACATACTTTCACCTTTTTATGGCTGCACAAGGAATGTAACGGAGTCCTTCACCTCATTGCCCTATCAGAAGTTGTGTCACGTCTAAAGTCTTCTTTTATGATACCTCTGTAAATATTTGGAACTCTCAGGAAAACCATGGAAGTTGTCAGAACGCTCATAGTGCATCCTGTCCCTGCAGAGGACAGTTCCATTTCTAGAGTGTTGCAGCAATATTTGATACACTGCACTGTCCACAGGAAGAAGTAGATTATGTAGGAACTTTGTTCCTCCTGAAACTCTCCATCCTGCAGACTGAGACATGATATCTACTTAGATTGCTAGACCACACTGAGTACAGGTGCACTTTGCATTTAGATATGTAAGTATGCCTCAACCATGGAAAAATGGAGCCCAAAACAAAACATCAATCAAAATATTTTCTACTTAAAGTGAAACATTGATGCTACCTTTGGGTACTTTCTAAAATAAATGCTTCTAATCTTTCAAAACAAATTACCTGATCTTCTTATTTTCTGCTAGCAGAGATGATAGCTACCAGAAATTATTATTTTCTGTGACAAGTATGATAAAGAGTAAGTGACCGTGGGTTGAAAGGATTGTAAAATTCATATATTTCCTTAAGATCCTTCTTAAGGATCTTAAGTGAGGATCTCTGAGCGAGTCAAATCCTTAAGAAATCTCACTGTTGTCCGAGGAGGTAAAAAGCGGATAGCTCTCCATTAGCAGCAAAGATGATTAACAAATGAGCATTAGCAGAACTAGTTGCCAGTCAATCCATTCTTAAGTTTCAAGGCATTGATTGAAACCACTGGAAGTTGAGTTTCAAAGAGGGACAAGGACTTACTCAGAGTGCAAATGAGTAATAATTAGATATAATTAGATAATTAGATAGCTATACATTCTTTCCTATGGTATTTTACTACCCCGTTACTACCAGAGATAAGTGAAACTCCTTGTACAACCTGTCCAGAATTCAAAATAGGAGATGAAAAGATGCAGGTGGAAGAAACAGATTCTCCAGGGGTCAGGTTTCAGACTCTAAAGAGGTGTCCTGGGCTTCTGGCTTGAAACAGAGGAAATGCTCTGGAACAAAAATGGGCTTAAATTGACAATCATCTCATGTGAGATAGGAGCACAGCACATTTCTGACTGCTTGTTGGTCCATATTTTGATAAGTAACTTGATAAGTAATCTCTGTGAAAGGGCAGAGGCTGACGGGTAGGAAATTGCCCCATTGACCCTGCCACACAGGACGGGAACTGTCAGGATGTAGGGGAAAGGATGTCAACAGTGAGGAGACACTCACCTCTGCATACACTGGAGATATCCTGGTATCTGGAAAAGCAAAAATAAAAAAGCTCAAGAGCAATGTTGCTTGCACAGAAGTAGGGTTGGGCTATCAGGAAGGTACAAACTTGCTGAAGCCAAATCTACATGTACTGCATGATGAAGAGCAGCGATCTTCTCTATAAATAACTATTAATGCTGAGTCCTTTAGTTTTTCACTAATAAAAGGCCTCTTCCCAGTCAGAATTTTCCTTCTGGCTGTCTTTTGAAACCTCTTCAATCTGTCAGTCTCCTTTTGTAGAGTAAAAACCGAGTTTTAATCCATGCAATGTGAACTACACTGTTTAAGAAGTGTTAAAGTTTTAGTATGTAATTTTTGTGGAGCTAAATGAGGTGGTCTATAGAATCCTGAAACTGTCATGTCCACACAACTACCTTTGGTAACTGGATTCATCAACAACAAAAAGTTTCCTGGTGCATCAGAAATTGATCATTTAACCAGATAAATGACGTGTGCATTTTCAAAATGCTCAGCATTTTGAATTGTATTTTATGTGTTCAAAGGTTAGCAAAGATCTTGATTAGCGTATTTTCAAATGTCAATGAGAGGCAAATGAGGAACTAATGTTATTTGAATGCCATTACAGTGGAAAGTAAAATAGCATGTATGACTAATTTCATTACAATAATGACCACCTAAAACAGTGATATTGTTTTATCAGACTTCAGCAAATCACACACACACAAAAGAAGAGTTTGCAATGATCATTCTTTCTGAAACTGTGATTTGTATGACATCACGAAGACACCCCGTGGAGCTGACGGGCATGCAGTTCACTTCTTCTAAACAACATTCAGTTGCCTTGAATTCAAAACCACAGTTTCCATTCTTCAGATTTCCTCCATCACTCTATTTTATTTCCATTGCATAGATGGGGAAGAAGTCAGCATGTGTTCAAACAGTTCCCATAGTGTTCTGCATTTTTAATGCACTTTCATTATTTATAGTATGTGAACAGGCAATTAAAGATTTTTTTGTAATCACAGATAACCACAATTCTAATATGTCTCAACTTTCAGGCATTTGACTTTTCACCTTGGTATTCCAGTGTGCTTTTACAATTTATATCTCAATTCAGAAGTATACTTTATTAAGAAAGTAATTAGTACTGTTTGAGCCCTGAGCTTCAGACCTCTGTTACTCAAGCGAAAAAGTTGTTTAATTGAGCAGGTAGTTATTAGTTATTTTACATAGACAACCTTCTTAGGGCTGGCAGCCGCCCTGTTCATTATCCTTCTCAATTTTTCTAGGAATCCTACTTAGTTCACTTAACTACTCCACCTAATTTGCATGATTCACAATTATAAAATCATAATATTTTGGGAAAAAAAGGGGGAAAAAAGGAAGCATTCCAAACAAAGTAGTTGTCTGTCCTCCACTTGGAATTCAAAGACAGTCCCTTCAAAGCTACTCCACCTAATTTGCATGATTCACAGTTATAAAACCATAATATTTTGGAAAAAAAAAAGGGGGGAGGGTGGGAAGGAAGCAATTCAAACAAAGTAGTTGTCTGTCCTCTACTTGGAATTCAAAGACAGTCCCTTTAAAATTTAACTTTGGGAAGGGATAATTTGGTTTGATTTTGCTACTTGGAAATAGTTAGAATTCTTATCTGGAATTAGAGATGCAACATAGTTTGCCCCTTGGCCAATTTGTGTATTTATAAAATGAGTCAAAACATTGTTCAAAAAATAGTTTTCACAAGTATGCTCACAACTTAATTGCAATCTGAAAAGCCCACGTACTGAAGTTTGTGCTTTATTGTTGCATTTCACTGACAGAAAATGTTGTTTTTTAAATCTGTTTCAGGAGCCTTCATGATCCCTTTCCTGATTTTGCTAGTTCTGGAGGGTATCCCGCTGCTTCATCTTGAGTTTGCTATTGGTCAAAGGCTGAGGAAAGGCAGTGTGGGAGTTTGGAGTTCAATCCATCCTACTCTGAAAGGTGTTGGTAAGTCTGAAGAGGATATAAAAACCCAAACCATGAGTCTCTGAATTGATAACCTCAATAGCAAAGTTTTGATATTTTGTCCTGGTGCACCATTAAAAATCCCAGAATTGATCACTTTTACCATCTCACTAACTATACATTTATATATCAGACTCATCATGACAAGCAACTGTGAAAATTTTGTTTCTGGATCCTCACGTACTGTTGATACCCTTAAAATGTGTTTCTAATTTCAGAGCAATTTCAGGCTTCAGAGATATCATCTGTATTACCCACACTGCTGTCTCTACAATTAGGAGGCTATTTAAATTTATTTGTTTTTAACTGCTCTGCAGATAAATGCAAGAGCTGAGTCTTTTTCTATGTTGGTCTACCAGATTTCACTTCAAATTACAATATTCCAATTACAGTATTCCAATTTCAACATGAAAGTAATATTACAAGAAACCTTTTTGCATCTGAGAGTGGTACCAAGTTGAAAGTCACAGAAACAGAATATTGCATGTAAAATGAGTGACACCACCCGTGAAAGACTTCGGTGTTCTAAATTATTAAATCTGACATTGTACTAAAAGCAGCCCCATGCACATAGCAATAAAAACCCCATAGATGCCTCACTGCCACACATGTGAAAGAGAAGTATTGTGGTCATTTTGGATGGCTTGCTGATGGCTTAATGAGGGAGAAGTATCAGCCTGCATCCTATACCCTGCCTCCTGGTAACTGCCTCCCAATATTGCAAAGGAAAGGCAGTCACCTCCACTAACCTCTGCAGAGACGTTATAGAAGAGGCAGGTAGGTTTGGTCTCATTTAAGCAATATTACAAGTCATCTGAGCGCTGCATGTACGCAGACTCCCCATAACTAAAGAGCAACACTGTGAAAGAGGATGTGCAGCTTCCATAGGGACTTACTGCGTCCCTAAATTTAGTTTCTACACTTTCTGTCAGCTTCAGTCTCAAAGCAGTTTTAGGCTATATGCCTATGTAGAACTTACTAATCTAACCTTTAGATAATGAATTCACAGGGATAAAGCCTACATTGAAAAGAACTCAGTGATTTCCCATCTGGATACTTTATATTGACGTGCAAGGACAGCATATTGTTTCATATCCTTAAAAACATTTTTTTCATGGCTGCTATAGTGCTCATATATGTGACTGGGCTTAGTTCAGCTGATTTTAGTTTTTATAATTTCCTCTGTTTTTGTCCTCGTATAATTTAATATGTCTTGACAGAAATTTACACCAAATTATGATTTTTTTTATTTTAGGCATAGCAGCAATGTGTGTATCCTTCCTTGTGGGATTATATTATAACACTATTATTGCCTGGGTGATGTGGTATTTCTTCAACTCCTTCCAAGAGCCCCTGCCTTGGAGTACCTGTCCTCTCAATGCCAACAGAACAGGTATATTTTTTTAAAAAAAATGCATTTTGTTGATAGCAAATGTAAAACATAGTAAAGCATGTCAGAATCATTGTGCTACTTGAAATGTGTAAAAATGTGCATTATGTAAAGCATTATCAATACTTAATCTTTGAGACAAGTTTAGACATTTTAATGAAATTTTAGAAACTTCAATTTTGGCAGATATTTTTCTTCACCTGTAGAATATTCTCAGAATATGAGTTTCAGTTTACATGTTGATATTTGCCAGATTTAGACAATATTTTTCTTCATAACTAGCATGTCAGAGAATCACAGAATGGTTGAGGCTGGAAGAGACCTCTAGAGATCACCTAGTCCAACCCTCAAATTCAGGAAGAACATCAGGTTGAGTGAGGCATTACAGAAAAGCACTTCTGTGTTTCCAGTGAGAGTCATCAGTGTTAGATGTAAAGAGCCATTTTTCCTCAGATACACAGTGTTAAATGGTAAAATAAAAGTCCAACAGCAATTCTATTCAGAACAGTTTCAAGTGGTGGTGAGATTTTCAAAGCTGTCTGTCTGAGGCTTGATAGGGTATCTCAATATTGTGTTTTGAGCACTCCTGTTCATCTGAGTGGCAAATAATAGACATTATTTATAAAAAAAAGAAAGGAAATGTAAATTTTTTTGTCAATATCAATGACAGATTCTTCTACTTAAAAAAACAATCCATTTAATTTTATCCATGCTCAGTAATGCTCTCCACCCTTCGCTTTGCACAAGATGCTTCCATCTTCAGATTTTTTGTAGGAAAAAGAAAAAAGAAGCATATGGAAAAGAGGTTTGGGTGATCTTCAAAGATGCTTGAATGATAGACTGTAGAAATAAAAATAAAATCTGGATAGAAATCCCTGTTAAAAAATCTCTTTAAAATCTTGTATTTTTTGAATGCAATCAGCTTCTAGAAATCTGATATTTGCCAATAGTAAATTCTTTGAGGTTCCATAGCATAACTTGGTATACTACTGTTAAGTATTTAACTTTTTTTTCCTAATAAATGAAAGATAACAAGGCATGATGATGATTTTGTGTTACAGATTACATAGACGAGTGTGCCAGAAGCTCTCCTGTAGATTATTTCTGGTACAGAGAAACATTAAACATTTCCACATCTATAACTGACTCAGGCTCTCTACAGTGGTGGATTTTGCTATGTTTAACATGTGCATGGGGTGTACTGTATGTGTGCACAATCAGAGGCATTGAAACAACAGGAAAGGTAATTTGTTTTATACAAAAAAAGAATATTCATTATGCTGTTGTGATTCCTTGTTATACATACCTAATCATACTATAGAAACCTCTTGTTTTGCCAGTGGAAACACTACTAGTTGAATGCACAGGAATTTGTTTTGATCTGGTTTGTTTCATGTTCAGATTTGTGTAATTCCGATTCCTCATCCTTAAAGATCCTAGTAGAACCTTAATGAAAGATCAAGGTGCTTCAAGGTGCATCAAAGATTAATGAAAGATCAAGGTGCTCCATCTTTTTTGCTGTGGCCATTCTCTTCATATAATGCATGCACAGATTTATTTGGATTTGTGCTAATCCCTAATATTATCTCTTCCTGTAATCCATGTTCTGCTCTCCAGAGATGTTAGTTTAGGTCCAGTACTTGCATCAGAAGCATAGTGTGATCTCAGGATTTGCATTGTTTCTTTTAGGTCCAGTACTTGCATCAGAAGCATCAGTGTGATCTCAGGATGTTTCTAGTAACAGTGACTGAATTATGAGCTGAATTTCAACAGTGACAATTTGTCTTGAATAGAGCACTAACAGTAAAACCATTTTATAAAATGTACTGCACATGCTGTTTATTTTGAACATAGTTTTTCTTAGTACGTTAACTGTGACTTATTTGAACTGGTCATTATTGTTTATCTGTTAATTCATTGTTTCCTCCCCTCATTTTCTTCTGTGTTATTTTTCTTTATATTCCATTGTATTTAAATGTTTTATTTGCTATTCCCTGTGCAGGCTGTGTATATAACATCAACTCTTCCTTACCTTGTGCTCACTATTTTTCTAATCCGTGGCTTAACTCTGAAGGGATCAGTCAAGGGGATTGAGTATCTCTTCACTCCTAATGTAAGTCACTGGATACTTTATCCTTTAATGAAACTATTAAATAGTTCTTCCTATAATTAGCAGCTCATTGGAAATGAATCCTCACCATCAATACTTGTTAACTATCCGTTAAATCTTTAAAACCTTGATTCTGATGGGTGAGTCCTTTTTTGCATCATATGCAAAAAACACAGGCATACACACACGCACAGTCTCTATATCAAAATTTGTTACAAAAATAGACCTTTGCAGAGCAATGCTATGGAGTTGTTATAAAGCAACTTGCATTCTTTTTCTAGAATGTCCTGTAGTCTAGTGATGGACTAGCCTAACTTCCAAGCACAAATGGTATATATTTGGGAATACCCTCCATTTAATCAGTATAGCTACATGGAGCTTAATAAATGGGTTTAATTATAGAATTTAATTACAGAAGAGTTTATTAGCAAAATTATAATTCATTTCCTTTTCCAGGAGGAGACCTATTAATATTTCCTATTAATGTAAAAAAATTCTAGAATCATCCATTTTAAGATTCAGCTATGTAAAGTCATATTTTAATGAATTTTCAAAATATTAATTTTCTAGACTACGTAATATTATCATACTAATAGGTTTTCTTTTTGAAAGAGATTACGTTTGACAAGAGGAGTGACCAATTTTTTAAGAATCCTGAAAAGTAGCGAGTTCTGCAAGATTAATTATCTTGTTTTAATTACTGTTTAAAAATTCTCATATTCAGTCTAAATAATTATGCTATATATATGCTTAAAGCCGTATGTCTGGTGCCTCAGGTTGCTGAGCTGGCTAATCCAGTGACGTGGTTGGATGCGGGCGCTCAGGTGTTTTACTCTTTCTCCCTGGCCTTTGGAGGCCTCATTTCTTTCTCCAGTTACAACTCTGTACAGTAAGTAGTCAGGCAAAAGCCAAAGTTTTATATCATTCTGTTTCAGTTTCACCTCAGATCTAGTCACAGTTTATTCTCTGCCATCACTCTTGTTTTCAGGTGTTTTTCCAAAGTTCATCTGGACCTTCTGGTGCCCACAAGTCTCAATGCATGATGACATGCCATATTTTAGGTGTAAGTCAATGTTCCCACAATTGTGAGGAGCAGAGCTCAGAATTTTCAGCATCTTTCCAATAGATGTAAAGAAAAGAAACAGTGTATTCCTGCCTTTCCAACACTTTGGGACTGCCACACTAGGCCACCCTCCTTCAATTACCAGAACTTAACGATTTAAAGAGGAAACTGACAGAATCAAACGAAATTTCCATGAAAAAGCTATAAGAAAAAAAAATGCAAATTCTATAATGTTATACTGTGATGTTGGACCACTTGCAGTCCTAAAAAGGAAGTAATATTTTATTAAAGATTGTCTGCAAGAATCTCATGTCACAGTGAAAAATCTGACAACAGAATTCACTGAATAATTTCAGTTTAATGCCCTCCCTGCATTGTGGACCTTTTGGATACATCATAAATCAGGAAAGGTCCTGGTATCAGAGATCTTTGATGGATATGCTTTCCCTTCCTCTCCTCTTAAACTTGATCAGAAAATTAGATAGGACTGCATCAAATTCATCTCAATAGTTGAGTCTTTCCCAAGACAAGTATATCTAGAGCGTCACAGCCATCTCATAAAACTATGTACTAATTTAATATTGATTCTTAGTCTTCTCTGTCAGATGAAGGTCTGTTTTTGGATCTGCAAATTTGCCACTTAGCAGAGACACTTTGGAAGGAAGGCTCTATAGTAGAAAACTCTCCCCAGAACAGTTTAGATTTTGTAATAGAATAGATTGCCTATTCAATCTTATCAGCAAAGATTCTCATTGTATTTTCCAAACTTAAGGATATTTTGAACTATTTTTTTGTCTAACAATCAACATTTTCTAACAGATTGCCTTCTAGTCAATGCTGTTTCAATCACATTTCTCCCAAACGAAAGCAATCCTCTATATTTTCACTCTTCTTTCCCATGAGGAAGACAGCCTTCTTCCTGTTCAGTAATATTACAAAGGCAAGGGAAGTACTTACAGAAAAAAAAAAAGACCAAAACTCAAGCAAGGCTCCCTCCAGCAATATAGCTCTACCACACAACCTACGCTGATCAAAAAGCAGCAAAATGGGCATGGAATTAATTAAATTCAAAGTACAGAGTGGGAAATGTTTACTCATCAACTGATGACAACAGGATATAACAACTATGATACTCATTTAGAGTATAGAAACGTTGTTTTTGTCCTTCCTGTTTTGCCCTACATGAGCCATACTAGAAAAGACCAGAGGAAATAATTCCTTTTCAATAGCATTATTTAAGCAAGGAAAAAAAAAAAGAATAACTATTAAATTTCCTAAGGCATGAGTATTAATTCAACTAACTCTATCAGCTGTACTTATACAAATTGGGAACGTAGGAAGGTACCTATGCAGCTATAGACTACCCTTTTGTTAATTTTGATGGTCAATTTTTAACATTTATCCTGAGAGTGTATTTGAAGTTCATTGTGTCTTCTCTTTGCATTGCAGCAATAACTGTGAGAAAGATGCTGTGATTATCTCAGTGATCAATGGTTTCACATCTGTTTATGCAGCAACCGTCATATACTCCATCATTGGATTCAGAGCCACAGAACGATATGATGAGTGTTTCGACAAGTAAGCTATTGAAAAAACAGAATTATAGAGATGTTTGTTTGGCCAGGGCAGCTCTGTTAGCTTGGTGATAATGGCTCAATCAATCATGAACAGTTACTGGTCCTGAGCCATAGGGTGCCAGACCACTCATTACTTCAAAAAATCTAGATTGCATTCAGGATGAATGTGTTTTGAGTGTGTGAATTTCTGAGGTATACTATTACTATTTTATTCTAAATACACAATGGGTGGAAGGACCTCACCTACAACTCTGAACTGAAGCAGTGGAAATATTATTTCCTTTGTATCTTCTTATAAAAGACATTGTGCTCTTAATGACTTGATTGATGATGAAAATGAATGCTGTGGTTGCTTATAAACAAAAAAATTCAGCTTATTTGTATTTCATTTTTACAGAAATATTCTTACATTGATAAATGCATTTGATTTGCCTGAAGGTAATGTAACCCAAGAGAACTTTGAACAAATGCAGAGGCTGTGTAACATGACAGACCCAACGACTTTTGCAAACCTGAAGTTTGAAACCTGCAATCTCGAAAGTTTCTTGAATGATGTAAGTTTAACACATATCCATGCAATTACTATGGAGGGAACCCATAGCAATACTTACCTTTTAAGTTGCTTAATATTCTTCCCTAAGATGGGTTTTTGTGATATTTCCATTAATTATTTGTTGTTTGTCTGGAACGTCCTTGGAATACAGGATTACTTTTGTTTATTCCCTGGAAAACAGTTTAGCTTTTGAAGAGATAAACAGTTAAATTTCTCTGAAAAGTATTGACAACATGTCAGAGTATTATCTAAGCACTCATGTGCTTAGGTAGGTTCTAGGTTGGCCTCCTGCAGCTGACAAAACAGCAGTAGTTTTTCCTCTAGAAAGAGCTCGTTGCAGCTATAGTGGGAGGGACAGCAAGACATGACCCCTTTCCCACTCAGTATCTGGGTGTTTCCAAAAGAAAGAACCTTGACAACAAAGAATTTGTGATAAAAGGCTGTAACATTTTTGTTGTTGTTGTTATAAAGATTGGAAATTATATATGAAAAGATATGTTTATAATATTTAGTGAATGTGCAACCGTAGCTCAAGCAATTTAGATAGAAGCACAGGGTCAGAGTAACTGTGTAACTGCACAAAATATCTTACACACAGTTTCTGCTATTTTTAGTGCATCTGTTGTAAGAATATATAGCCAAACTGGAAGACTTACCATTGTGTTGACATTCATTAAACAGAAATCTTGAAACTTTGATTTTACATGCTAAATAGTATTTTCACATCATTTTTCTCGATTACAACGTCCATGTATATGCAACTGCTTTACTGAAATTGTAACTCTATTTTTTTTTTCAATGCGAGATAATTAAGTGCTCCCCCAGCAGGAGTTAAACCTTTTTTGGGTTTATATTGTTCTCTGGCCAATAACTTATCATTAGGACCATTTTCTACCACAGTCTTACTTAGTTTATGAGTGGAAGAATTAGGAAGAACACTAGGATAAAAAGGAAGGCAAGTATAAAATGGTTCCATTCTGCTTTTTTTTTCTGTTCCATTAGATTGAATTTATGTTGTATTTACAGTTAATATGCTGCTTTATTAGGAGGTCTTTGTGAATACAAAAAACATAATTACTATTGCATATGGTAATGATAATATATGTATATGTAAATTTCAATGCTGTATGTTCACAATACCAATTTTTTGAATTTCTTAAATCTTCCACAGGGAGTTGAAGGAACTGGCTTAGCGTTTATTGTCTTCACTGAAGCTATCACCAAAATGCCTATTTCACCTTTGTGGTCCGTCCTCTTCTTCATCATGCTCTTCTGTTTGGGTCTGTCGTCTATGTTTGGAAATATGGAAGGTGTGCTTGTACCTTTACAAGATCTTAATGTCATACCCCCAAAATGGCCCAAGGAGCTCGTTACAGGTAGGTGCTGTATTTTAAACAAGTGATTCTCCCCACCAAGAAATAGCCTACATGCTAAAAATGCACTGTTAATCAATCACATAGAATTATGGGTGTATTTGTCTTAAGTTTGATAAATACTGAACAAAAGGTAAGATATTGAAAAGATTAATTGAAGGAAACTTTCTTACTAGTTTTCTGCTTTATATGCGTGAAATGATGTATTTATCTTTGCTGTGAATTTGTTGCTCTTTTTATTTATTTATTTATTTTTCTTTTTTACAGGTCTGATTTGTTTGGGATCTTACCTGATAGCTTTTATTTTTACACTGAACTCTGGTAACTATTGGCTGGCTCTATTTGACAGTTTCGCTGGCTCTATTCCCTTGCTGATAATTGCATTTTGTGAGATGTTTTCAGTTGTCTACATTTATGGAATAGACAGGTATGAAATACAAATTAAGCATCACTAGAAACTAATGCATAAATTGATAAGTCCTATAGATTTAGCATTTTTTACATGATTTAGGCTTCTAAAATGGTTCTTAGCAAAAACAAAAGATGTTTTGTTAAAAGCTGGGTGGGTGGTTATTTTGTACATGAAAGCTGTCCACTTCTCTACTAATACAGTATAATAGATAATGCTCTATAACAATCAGCTAAAATAAACATTATCAAGTGCCCTAGAGCAGAATAATATGAATGTAAATATTTTATTTTTAAAGTACGTATCACAACATGCACATTTCAATAGTTAGATAAATACCACTGTAGCTTATTTACATTTTAAACGTGGTGGAATTTACAATAAAACCTTTTCAGAATAGTTTCATAAAGTATTTAATTAGCAGAAGCAAAGTACGAGCACATTGGCACTGAGCTGGAAATTTAAAACAAGAAACTCAGGTATATTCCACAAATATTTAGAAGAAGTGATAAGTGATATTGTCCAAAGCACGAAACAGCCCCATGCACATCGCAGACACTGTTTTAGAGCAGGATGCAAATCCAAGGCTACTGAGATACGTTCTGCCTTTCTTCATAGATTCAAGACTGTCAGTTCTAGCAGTGAAGAGTTATCCCACTAACTTCCTAAAGACATGTAATAAATCATATTTTTGTTCATAATTAATCTTTAAGAAATATGAGGAAACTCTGGGAACTTTAATCGCCCATAAGTTTTCCATGATTAGCTGTATTAGCTCTCCAGCTACGTCCTCTGGCACCAGTTAGGTCTCTCCACCACAACCTCATCACCCTCCTTGCCTGCTGGGCAACTTTAGGTGGAAATGCAAAGCCTAATGCCATCTTAGTGTATGCTTCTGGCTGTCAGTTTAGAAAGATCTAACCTAAAACATCTAATTCTGAATTGCTAATTAGATTGAACTGAAGTTGATTTATTTAGCTGTCTTGATGTGTTTTTGTGAATGCCCATAGGAAAATGTAGGGAACTGTAAGTTAAAAAGGGAAAGTACCACATCTATAGGTAAAGCAGGCAAGGACTTTCAGGTGTTCGGCTTTGGATTTATGCTGATCTTCTCAAATTCCATCTTTATGTCTCCAAGTCAATATTAATTTCAGTATGGAATGGCCACAGTTTTGCTGCTTAAAAATTTGGAACCTGCAAACTGCAACACATTTGGATGGATTTTCAGGAAAAAAAATCAGAACATCTTCAGCTTCTACTGAAAAAAAATTCAGAATGCTAAAACTCAGGCCATAGTTAGTTCTAACTGACTCCAACATTTTATGTGTGTGTGTTTTGTTTTAATCTCAGTGTGGCTTATGCAGTGGCTCCTTACGCATTGACTACTTCTTGCCAAAATTATTTTCTGTATGGTTTGGCTAATTCTTGACAGAAAGCACATTTCTAAAAGCTTTATTCGACATTCCTTTGGGAACCATGAATGGTAAATGGCTAAGATAGGTGTAGTGCTGTCTGCTTTAATTCAAATAGGTCTAACTCACGATGTTGTTATCTATCCTCAGTTCACAATGACATTAATAAAGTTCTGAAAAGTATGGTTAGGTTTGGTTTGGACTTTCCTACTTACAACGGATGGTCTTTGATTCTGTCCAGCTTTTATTGTCCTGAACTTCCTGCTTTTATTTCTAGGTTTAACAAAGATATTAAGTTCATGATTGGACACAAGCCCAATATTTTCTGGCAAGTTACCTGGAGAGTTATCAGTCCTCTCATTATGCTAGTTATCTTCATTTTTTATTTCGTGGTGAAAGTCAATCAAGAACTTCTCTACAGCGTTTGGGACCCTAATTATGTAAGTATATAAAGCCGAAGGATTTATTTAGACTTACTTTTTTAATGCAATAGTCTAAATTATATTTATCTTCCTTCTGCAACAATTTTGGTGAAAAAAAATTATTATAAAGCTAAAATTTTCATAAAAAATACCACATAGAAAAAATAAGACCTAAATTCAGTGGTAATGTCTAGAATTGAGAATCTTTTTTTTTTTTTTTTTTTTTTGTTCCTGAAAAGGACAAAACTAAAACATTGGAATTAATCTAATTGTTGGAGAGGATTGAAAGAGAAATAGTTATACAGATGTCAGTCCATAGTAGCAATTACAGAAGCTCTCAAAACGTCACAACTTTTCTGTGGTGATGAATGACCAAATGGGTCAAACCATTTTGATATTGCATTTATTTGTTTATTTATTTATGCATTTAGACTCACAGAACTGCAGCAGTAATGGTTATACATCAAACTGACAAAGAAGTTAAAATTACCCTATCCAGATTTCTTGCTTCCGCTAAGTTATAATTGCAAAAATAAGCTAATTACTTTTGCTTTCTCCCTCTCCAAAATAATGAGCCACATGTGGTACATAGAAGGGCACATTAGAAAACACATGGGTCCTGTTATTTTCTTCATGATCCCACTTTTTCTGTGCCAATTTAGCTCTGCTTTTTTATCCTCTGACCTGGTGATATCTTTGAAGCAAAAGGCAGTCATCCTGCACACTGGTTACCACGTTTTTTTATTTACTATTTTGTTTTTATTTATTTTTGCATCTCACAGAGAGTGAAATGCAAAGGGAAGAAGATGGGCAAATGGGAACACTTTCTTCTCCTTTTTTCTTCCCTCAGCATCCTTGCCTTCTTCTGCCTGCTGATCTTAGGACCCTGTTTTGGTGTTCCCACATCCAACTGTTTCAGCCGTTCTGCCCAAACACCATTCTGCTACCAAGCACCAACAGTCCGTGCCCTGTCCCTCCTGTACCCCTGGGAAGCGTGTGTGCCAGGAACAGTCACACCAGTGTCTAGTTCCCATTTCTGCTTCCTTCACACCATCTTTCCTCTTTCCGTTGCTTTTAAGGACAAATAAATCCTAAAGATCTGGGATCACACACCCTTGAGAAGCAATGACTTTAGCTAAAAGCTTTGCTGTAGAACTGGCAAGTTATTATGCAGTTGTGGCTGGCTAGCTGCTGCTATGGTTCTGGTTTGTGTTCTGTAGAAGTACTGAATGTGTGAATGTTCCCAAGTACGTGCTCATCAGCTTCCTACCACTTGGTTGTTTTTTTCTTGCAGGAAGACTTCCCCAAATCAGAGAAGATTGGTTATCCTGGCTGGGTATATGCTGTTATTGTAGTCCTGGCTGGAGTGCCTGGTTTGGTCATCCCTGTTTTTGCCATTTACAAAGCCATTAGAAATTGCTCTCAGAAAAAAAGAGATCGTGTGGGCCTGGTGATCTCCACGTCAGAGACTTCTGTAAATGGGAGCTTAAAGAATTCAGCATAAAGCCATTTTAAAAGTGTGGAAGAGCGCTTTGCTGGTGAGGAAAGGAAAAAGATTTTTTTTTATATAAAGAAACAATAATTAATTTTATTGTCATAAGAGGATAATGATGTGTTGTTTCCAGGTAAACATTTGTGGAAAATGCATGTTTAACTAACAATTGCTGCGCTTTGAAGACAGAATATCTTGGATCCTGAAGGCAAAACAGCTGCCTTTGCAAGTGGATGGAGCTCTAGGCCAAATCATTTATCCTACTTCTGGTTTTGAAGCCAGCCTCTTAAAAATTAGCTGAGAGTTCTCTGTCGGGGGATGCACTGCTCTTGACGTACATATGAGACTCTTCCATGTCCAATCATTCTGGTTGGGTGTCAAATATTAAGGGTAGATTTATACTGCCTTCTCTTGCATATTAAATTGTTTTTAACTCTATGTGCCACTTTGTTGCACAAAGCCACAAATATTATCTCATACAGAAGTTTAAAATATTTAATAAAAATATTTCTAAGTATGGAAATAACATTTCGATTCATTCATAATTCCAGATATGTGATTAATTGCGTTTAACTTCCAAACTTGCGGCAGATAGCCCTGCTCAGTGACAGTGTGCAAGTGCTGTCAGCCACAGCATTTTGTGCGTGCCCACTGAGATACCCTGATAAGGCACTGGGAAACCGAGTTGCACCTTGGACTTGCATTTTGTAGAGCTCCAAGCAGGTGAACTGTCCTTCCTGGGAAGGTTTCTGTGGTCTAAACGTGAAGGTGACTTCTAGCTAGATGACCTGCAAGACGAGCATCTTTATTCGCTTAGCTGCAGCTGCTTTAACAAAACGAGCAAGCTGACTGAATAGCTTATTTATGGGAGCCTGAGATAGTTTGTATTGCAAAATATCAAAACATTGGTCTAACTGAAAGACAACAAAAATCTGTTCTCACACACCTTCATTTGAAGGAAAGCACGCAGCTGTTACATTCCTCAGTAACTATTTAATGAACAATAAAAATAGTCACTTGGGATTCATTGACAGGTGGGAATTGATTAACTTCTCGCAGGAATGGTAAAAGTGGACCAGATTCTAATGTCTGAATTCATATGGTTGTGACAAGATCAGGGTAAGTCTGGTGTCTGCTTGGCAGCATGGCTGAGATTAGCCTGAATTTTCATATTTCAAGCTACAAGTTTTGATCTATTTTCTAAGATAAAAATGAGATAACTGAATAACTCCTTCGATAGCTTCATAACTAACCAAACCAGAATTGCTCTCACAGGTTTACAGAAGTGAAATACTGAAAAAGTGGTTCTCAAAATATCAAATGCTCTATAGATAAAACCAATTCTCAAACTACCTCTGCCAAAGTGTGCTGCACCTTTTGAATATTTTGAATGAGTCATGCCTAGGGGTGTGAATTTTCAGATATGGAAAAGCATGATAACAGATAACTCCTTTGTGTTTAGTGCCCTGCACGTGCTCGGGAAAGCCTGTTGCAGGAAAAGCCATGTGCTCAGGCTCAGGTCATCCATGCCATGGGGCCAAACGGCAGACCTCAGGACTGACAAATAGCAACTGCAAGAACATCTATAAAAATATACCTTTGTCAGGCTCTTATTGAGGCTTTAATATGACTAATGACCATTATGCAGCAATACAAGGCATGGGAAATGGTTTAATGAAGTAAGAGATACATCTGATTAATATTAAATGTTATTGCATTTTGTTACTTTATGAACGTACAGAAGATGTCAGCAATCAATTAGCTCTTTTAACGAAGTGCCAAAGGAAACAGGAACGTCCTTTATTTACAGATTTTTCTTTAAAAAATACAATTTCAACAAGTCTGATTGACTGCTGTAAGGGGTTTATCATCATTGTTATTACTCGCAACGCACATCTTTGTAAGTGTCTAGGAACATAAAGAAGACAGAAAATAAAACTCTGTTTGATCTCAAGTTACCAATTAACAACATATTCCCAAGTTCTCTAACTATAGAAGGAATTGCAGATAGTGGAGTAGTAACTATATAATAATAATTCCTGGTTTTGTCTTTAAACTGCAGCTTTTACAATAACACATTCCTTTGCATAACATAAAAGGAAAGCTCCACCTCTTTTTTTTTTCCAGAATCCTTTAGTCACTTTGCATAAAACCTGTAGGAGACACAGGTTGTGAATCGTACATATCTGCCTGCTTACAAAAGAGAGGGGCTAGAGAGTCGAGGCTATTTCACAGACATGTCAAAAGACTCATCAGTTGATGCGCCGCCTGAAAGCCTTAAAGAAGATGGCAGACCTAAGTGGGACAATAAGTTCCAGTACCTTTTAAGCTGTATCGGATTTGCCGTTGGTTTGGGGAACGTGTGGCGATTTCCATACTTGTGCCAGATACATGGAGGCGGTAAGATTGGAACGGGACTTTGTCAAAATACTAAACTACATTTCTGATATAACTATGCTGATTTATGATGGGCATGGATGTTGCACGTTTAGATGACTGTTTTTTGACTTTCAAATTCTCGTAAATGTTTTGCAAACCCTTTTTCACCAGTTAGATGGATTAGCTTTTCCTATATGAATCTATTTAATATTAAAATGATATTCATGCTTAGGAAATGAGACCAAATGGATGATAAGGTTCAGCAAGACCAGCATTAAAGTTCTTGCATCACTATTGTAGTTCTGATGGGAGAAGGGACCTGAACTCACAGCTCCTTGGCTTAAGGAAAAGAAAGAAGTCCTGGCCAGGACTCACTGAAGCAGCTCCCCAAATGAAGGAAAGCTTTCCTTTTAGGAAAGTGGAAAGTTCATCTCCTTCCTTCCTTTGAGGCTTTGATACCCCGCAGTCTAGAACTGCCACTGAACATACCTAAACCATACCTTACTCTGACTGTGAAGATAGTTTAAAAGCCTAGCAATATAATATAAAAAAAGAAAATGCAAGGTGATTCTGACAACTGCTTAAACCGTTCACTTAGCACTATCAAATATTCTAGAAAAAAATATTAAAAGAAACTTAACAAGTGTAAATGGATCAGAAAAGATTAATTGTTAAGTCATCATTTACAGTAGATTTTGAGATCTGCCATGCTAAACTATCTAATGCAAGATGATGCAGAAAACTGTTTCAGTCCAGTACGATTGATTATTTTTTGATTAACTGGAGAAGTGTAAAATTCAAACCTGGAGAAACTTAGAAACAACAGGAAACCTGGTCAAATCCAAGATCACTCTGCCAAGCAATCTGTATGCCTTACTGGTGAACGACGCCAGGGAACCAAGAATGGATTCTGTCTTTAGCAGAGGGAGGCATTTTAGAAACAGGCAGCCGCGCAGGGAGCCTAGTGAGCGACTGACTGAATTAAATATACCAGGTTGTAGGGCAAAAAGAATCTTGGCACATATAAGCAAAGGAATAGGAAACAGATGGAGGCATAGCACCACTGATAAGACCACTTCTGCCCCCTTCTATGGCCACCTTTCAAAATCAACTTGAAAAATGAGAAAAAAAGAGAAAAAAGAAGGACCAGAGCATCAGAATTATTCAAGGTATGGAAATCTTATGGTACGAGGAAAGACTTCATCTCCATTTTCTTGTTAATAGGCCATGAGAAATGTATACTTCCATTTTCAATTTCCTGAGCTAAATGGATTGAATTCTGCAGTCTTTCAGAGTTTTGATTGTAAGTAACAGTAAACATATAAAAGCTGGAAGCTACAAGTAGACAAATCAAGTAAGAAAGGAGAAGAAACAACAGAAGAGGAAGCCTCCAGAAGTCTTCATGTTTTATACCTTTTATTTGCAGCAAGATGTGAAACCCCATGAAACTCTCTCAGATGAGTGCCATAACCAGATAGTTAGAAATTCAAAGCTGCATTCACTCTTTTTCTCTGCATTTGTCCATTGGAATGGCTGGGAAAAGAAAAAGATTTTCGCTTAATTTAATGATATCTGTACCCATGAAATACGATAAACATCTTAGAGAGAGACACTCCCATAGCATAAACAGCATGAGGCCTGCAAGAAAAGTGTTCTTCTGGAGCAGGAGCTGAAGGTCAGACAAATATCCTAGAGCATCTCAAATGCCCTTCAATGCCCAAATTTGGGCAAAGGAATGGAGCCCAGCATGGTCAGAGGAGCAACCTTAGGTTCCTGGAGAAATTTAAGGTCAAAGCCAAAGCCATAAACCTGAGGATCTCTTAGGAACAGCCAGTACTTATACAGAGTTTTCAGAATTGCACTTTTGGATAAGTAAATTCTGCTTTTATTCCGCTTTAGGTGCCTAAGTGCTTTTTCTTCCCACTCTGTAGACAACTACCGAGGGTTAAACAAAGTACAGTCTTATTGCTCGCTCAGCTCTAGGAAATGAAGACTGACAAAACTACCCGTGCTGAACATGAGCAAATGGAAAGCTGCGTGGTGCCATGGTAAATCCTGTGCTAGCGAATTTTGGAGTGATCTGAAGGGAGCAAAGCAACAGAAGTGATGCAAAAGGGAACACAGAGGGGTTTAGAAGTACCTCCTAGGGGAACATACCCAGTTCAGTAAATGGACAGTACAATTATGGGTGTATGGTTCTGTTAGATCGGGCAAACTGATGTATACTGAAGAAAAAAACATGTATCCTACACTTTCTAGGCATCTATCTTAACTATATCAAGCTAGGAAAGAAATCTTGGCAGCTCTACAAAAAGTTCAAAACTTAAACTGAGCTTAAGATGGTGAAGACTAGGGAAAATACTATAACACCACACCGAATACAGCAGCGTGCTGTGCTGTGGTCAACAAACAGCTGCTGTCAGCCTGAAGGGGGTCACAGATTTCTCTTTGTGTTCGATTTCAGACACTCCGCTGTGCTGGAATGATCACAGCTTTTCTACTCAACTTGTTCCTGTGGTCTAACATTTTCTACTTGTCCAAGCCAAGGTCTATCAAGTCTGGCATGTTCATATGTTTCCATCAAAAGTTTAGGGACACACAGAAATTTAAAAGGAAAGAGAATGAAACCAGTAAGAAAGATAAGATGGGACACAAA